ACTGCTGTCCGTATGTACTGATAAGAAAATACACTGAAGAAAAATGGCTATTGAAGCGTATTTTATTATTCAGTAATTTTTAATACAGGAAAGGTGTCAGTTTCAAACCCATATATACAAACTTACAGTAAATGATCAGTTGTTTCAAGGAGAGACAAGCTGCGCTAAATCCAGTTTTAGTTGTATAAAATTTTAAAAACCTTTTCATAATTTAGAATTATTTATAGTATATACAGACTTTTATTGAAAGATGAACATACAATGGGTACAATTTCCTCATACTAGTTTAAAAACAGATTCACATTTTACATACTTCCTTTTAGATTCAGTGGGAAACTTCCATAGCTTGGTTTTATTTGTTACTCAGCCACTTCACGATTAATTTTGTATTAGTCCAGGTATCTGAAACTGTAACTCAAGGAGCAGAATTGCAGAGAAAGGACTTCTTTGTACAGACTCAGTAACACTTTACATATTGAGTCACATCTTCTTTTACAGGAAGTTTCCTCAAAATAAGGAATAGTTTTAAAAAATTAATAATGACAAATATTGGTACTACTAGTCCCAAGAATACCAATAAGAAAGGATTAGGACTGATAGTAATACAGTGGAAGATAAATAATAAAATAACTGGCACTCTAAAAAGCTTCTCTAATCCATAAGTAGCCCAGACAGCATTAAAGAATTACACACTATATCAAGTCTGGCAGAGGTAGTGGTAAAGGCCACTGGAACTGTACATGAGATATTAGTCCATTTTTACAATTCTCTAACACAACTAGAAACATCTTGAAAATATGTTTCTTTATAATATAATGAAGTACCAAGAATGTATTATTCTCTTTGGTTTATGAATCGGGGATTGTTGACTGCAGTATTTTAACCTAAAATGCTACCCTACCATTGCTGTATAACAGTTGATAAGGGAAAAAACAGAAAACCTCTTTAAAAGGATATATATTTGGACTGCCTGCACTAGCACAGAACTTATTACTTTATTTGGAGATCTGCATGTATGCACAGCAGAACGATGTTCCTTGAAGGAGTGGCCTATAGATATTTTCCTTAAACTACATTTTAGCATCTTATACAGATTAATAACTGTAATCTTTTTTCCTAACAGAGGATCTTCTAGTCAATATGAAAGTAGTTACACAGAAAAATACTTAAGCTATGTAAGGCCATAACAGAACTTAGAAGCTGAAGTTTGTCTTATTAAGCCAGCAATATATACTAAACAGGCACAAAGTAGTTACAAGAACTTACGTGATCAAAACATTTTTGGAGTGTGTCATAGGAATTATTGCCTCAGAAATGCATAATAAATTACAATTTAAAAGGGTCAAAATTACAGGATAAAATAATGTTTCCATGTCAACTGAATAAAAATAATTTATTTACAGATCATGAGGAAAAACATAAAAGACTTTTCTTTTTCAAATAAATACATGTCTTAAGGGAACACTTTCACCGACTAAAAAAATAAATTTGTGTGATTAAACGAACAGTTCTTATGTACTAAACAAAACCATAAAAACATTCAAAGGACAATAGTGCAACCATGTCAGAGCATAAAGCTGATGTTTGTCACTTTACCTTTTAGGCTGAAGACAAGGTAACCTTTTAAAGTGAAACAACAGAAAAAATTATGCATTCATTATTTCCACATATAAATACATTCTTTAATTTCTAGATTTAAACATTCCAAGTTCTTTTGCTTTAACATAAATTCAACACAGTATTATGTGAACATTCAAAATATGATGGAACCGACCACGACAGGACTGCTAAAATGAGTTCCAACTGAGCTATAGCTATATCCCCATTTAATAGTGCATTTTCAGTCCTCTAGACGTTGATCATAAATTTACTCCAAGGTAAAACTTTGTTAACAGCTAACAACTTTCAACCCTGAATCTTATTTAGAAAACAACACTGTTGCAAATTAAAGTTGCTTTACATGACACAAAAAAATTACAGAACTTAATAAATTGATGCAGGCTACATAATTTGACTAAACAACATAAGGTAGATTTTGGTTATTAAAATAAATGAAAAACAAAAGTACTGAAAACATCAGTGGCCTGCAGAGAGGGAAAAACTGGTATGGAGGCAAGTCCCTGAACTTACATCCTTCAACCAGCCTCTCTACAAACATGGATACTCTCATGACACCCTCTGTATGATAAAAATATTAGATACGAAAGCAATTATATTACACATGCACACATGCTGCTAATTCTGGGATGTGAAACCCAGAGACATTTTGCAAGAGATACTCCTGATGTGACACTGGTGGAGAGAAGGCCAAGGGACAGCTACAGATACTGAAAAGGAAATCGCCAAGATTATAGTCAAATTCTTGTACATAGTGGGGGAAAACTGTTAGAAATTTGAAGTCATTTGGGGAACTGAAGTTGGACATGAAGAGAAATGTTTATACAGAAAAGGAGGACAAGTATGAGAACATCTTGCCCAGAACGGTAGTAGTATACCTCTGTCCTGGAGTATTTTCACAGGCAGGCTATCCAACCCCACAGATAACCAAATCTAGGACTAGCCAAAGTCCATCTCTGCTTGAGTCCTTGGAAGGCTGGACAAAACCACCTCCAGAAATCCTGCCTGCAAATCACTTTATGTGATTCTCTGTGTCCAGCCAAAACACTTTGCTCATGCAGGTGTGTCAATAATGTTTAAGCAAACATTTCACCTCATTTACTGGAGGCCAAGACCATGGAACTGGTCAAACACAGTAGCTCAGAACACACACTTAGAACACTGATCCCTAGTCCAGGCTCTCCAAGCTAACAACACCGAATGAGAAACATTTTTGGAACATAAGTAACAATTTATAATCTTGATCTTACCCTGAGAAAATGCAAATGCCTACATGTTGAAGGCTCACACTTCACAAACCAAGGTCTATATAACCTTCCTCTCTTTCCCCTACTGCAAACACTTCCCAAATTAATTTTACTTCCATTTCATTCACATGGACAAAAGGAAGGGTTCACAGAAACAACACAGAAAAGGCCCTCACCAAAGCAGTCAGTTAAATTTGGCTTTTCTGCTCCAAGAAGCTAACTGAAGCTGTATTTTTTTTTAATAATATAGGGTTAAGAGTAAACAATATGTATGTATTAGGCATATTCCTAATACACTTGAGTGTCCTGCATTCTCTGCCACATGCTTCAGATAAGTCTCAGAACTACAGTGAGGCATCCTGTACTGCTGTGTGGGAAGATGCTACAACCCTGAAATCTCCTGCATCGAATTAGGTAGCATGTGAAGATTCTCCTAGTACTTCAAAAAATCCTCACCAAACATGTTTTGTCTTCTAGGTCTGAACTATTATACACTGAAATAAAATGTCTTATTCATTCTGGCATTAGATTTCTCTCTCTTGGTGAAAAAATTTCTGATAATTACCCAAGGATTAGCTGCTCTGATTACATATTTGAAAGGATGCCTAAAACAAATTCTTTTCCTAGGTAAAACCTTTTTATTATTTCTAAATTATGAACCTTCCTGTTTATCAGATCTCTATGTTTTATACAAGCGATAACACAGTACAGGCCATACAGCGCTGATAAAATGCAGCAAACAGCTGCTAGTCATACGGTTTTTCCATCAATTGATAAAACTTTACCCAGGTTTGATTTACTTAACTAGGCTTCAGCTTGGAGATGTTTTATTAATGGAAACAGAGGAGACAACAGTTTTCTGGCTCTGAAAAGGTCCTATCCTATTTTGATCAAAATCAGTGAAAGTCAAGAAGAACTGGATTTTGACCGCTAATTGTAGAAATGCCCATGATTTTTTACTACATTATGGAACTCCTGGGAACTATTTTAAGCAAAATTCAGTTTAGAGATGATGACACCTAAAGCTACCACCCTCTGGTAAATTTCTCAGAACTTTTCTAAAATCAGTTGAAAGAACTCTCATTAAAGTGATTGCTGTTCATTCCAGGGTTCTCTTTTACTGAAAAATTTATACAAATGCTTGTGCATGTGCAGCAATTCTTTCACCTACTGATTTAAAATTTATAAAAATGTATTAAAATATATATTAAATCAGACTCCTACATACTATTACAATCTTTCAGTTAGTGACTGAATAGAAGATATTTGAAAAAGCAAAGGAAAAATTACAACTTGTACCAGTTTGTAGTAACAATAAGGATCTAAATTAAATAGGCAGAGAGATATTGGATCATAACTCATTTCGGCAATCCTACATATCACAGGTGTTACATTCTCTCTGGAATTTTGAACAGTAATAGTCCAGACAAATGCTTCTTTCACCTCTTAGCTGTGTAGGATCAGGTATAAAGTCTATTTCTCACTTCTTAATCAAACCCCAACACTCGAAATGAAATACATTCTAACTAGCCAACTTTTGAGGAACTACAACAGAATACAATGCACCTGCCACTGTCTTCTCCTGATAAAGTTCATTCTGGTTCCCCTAAACTTAGGGATTACTTGGACCTAGGCAACCCTTAATGGTTTGGAGTTTTCTTAAGAAATGTTTAATCAACATATATTTAAGGCTGTCAAAAACTAGATAAGCAGACTTGATCAAAAAGAGATTATATTCACTGAAGCTGTAATTTTTTCTTTACCTGTGAGTGATATTGGATATTACTACGTTCTATATATAAGAAATACGAACACCATAAAGAAACATGCAGGTAGAGACAATAATATATATTACAATATTGTATGCAGTGACTACTGTAGCATTGATTCTGAGCTCATTGCACTGAATAATATTACTTTAAAAAACTGAAAAAAGAGACTATGGGGTGAAGCAATTTCACAAATTTGAATGAGTAGAAAGTACAGTCTGGATTTTGAAGATTATGTGTAGCTTCTAAATATACAATGTATAAATCCATAATAAAAGGGAAACACTACTGAAATATTTTGGTTTAGTTGTTAACTTGGGTTTTTTTAAATATACAAGTTATTTAGTTAAGGAAAATTATCTATCATTTAAACATTACAACAGTTTTTTGTGAGTGCTGACTTTTTGACAGGTGTCCCAGCCAGGCTGGTTACTGATCTTGTATCATCTTGATTATCACTTCGTTTTCGCACCTCACTGTAAAAAACAAAAACAAAAATTTGCACTCAATTAACACATTTCTATTCATGTTCATTCTTCTGTTTTTACCACAATATGCTGCAGAGTTCATCACCATCTATTGTACAGCTAATACAATGTAAATTAGCACAGAATCAACGTGTCTCACAAATTTCCAATTTGGTAATCATATTGACATTTCTATTCAGTTCATAGTGATAAAAATATGATTTTTTTATCTAGTAACTCCCCCATGTTCTGATTTATCTTCCATTTTCTTTTGAGAAGTTTTTATTTGATTCTATATGTTACCATAAAAAAGAGAATGTTTATAGCTCTAAGTACAAAAACAAATGACTTCAGTTTCAAGTATGAATTTACTTTCATAGAATAAATGCATGCTGTTGGATGCCTTTTAGAAATGCAGACTTAAAAGCTGTGCAAATATGATTGATTATGGTTACAGAACACTTTCTTGGAACCATAACTTCTTTCTTACAGGTCTTTCAAAATTATACTTTAACCAAAAAAGGCTTGAAAAGTTAGTAGAACTGTGGTATTTGGATTACACACTATTATAGAAATACCAGGGTGCTAAATGTACATAAACAGAATTTCTATCTGTAAATAATTTAGAGAAGGGGATATCAAAGAAAATATATGCAATTAGAATTTTAGAATTCATAAAACTGAATAAATATTAATATGTGTAAAAGAATGAAAAAATAATTACACATAGAATTATTACATTTCAAAATAAATTATGAAAGTATCAAGAAAACAAATCCATGTACAATTAAAGTTACAATTCACTCAGCAAACAGGTCTTAAAATTGTGGGCTCTGTAACTGTGTCCTGGTTTAAATATTAATTATTGAGAGAGCTTTGTAACATTTTCAAGCAAAAATGTTATTTCATTAAACTGAGAATACATCCCATCTTGCATTTATCTATAATGATTTAACAGAGTATTATTTTCAAATTTTTTTAACATTGGTACAATTTTGAAACTATATGTGTACCTTTCCATGTGCATTCACATAAAATGTCCTCTTCATAAAATATACTCAGATGTGCTTAGATGAAAATAAAACATAGTTACTTACCGAGCAAGATGAAGAACTGCTTCTACAATATTAGATCCATCTTTAGCACTTGTTTCACAGAATAGTGCATTGTAAGTCTGTGAGTAAAAATAAAATGTTAAGCTAACTGATCTGAGATGGCTCCCATGTGAATGGGTACATTTAATTACAAATTGTTTCCTGAATAACACAAAGAATGACAGTACATTTAAATGAACACGATTTCTGCTAGTGTACTTCACTGTCGAACACATTCTCTTTAGTATTGTGAAATAAAACAGTAGTTGTTTTTTAATTACTTCTGGTTTATAATCATTATATTCTGAATTATTAAACTGAAAAAAAGCCATATTATAAACATAATGCTCAAACTCAATCTTCTTGTCCACAAGACTATAAAATAGTAAGAAAGAGGCCAGGACAGGTTACTTAACCTAGCTACTGTAACTATAGCATCTGGTTATTGTAGGTTAACCAAAAAAAATCATTCCACAGGTAACAGACATGGTATCTATCCCAGTATAATCAATCACTTGTGCAAGCACTCATCCATTCAAGACCCTTAAGACTCCTCCTATTCTACAAAATACAGCATTTGTGCATTGCTTTCACCCATATAAATACATGCAAAAAAAACTTGTTCACACTTCTATTTACAGCAGAGAATTTTTTTTTTCTTTCTGCACACGGGGTAGGAATACAAGAGTCTCTTGAAGATAAAAGCACTCCACACAACATCTGGACAGACACAAATCAGTCAATAGTGTGCCTCATATTCGAACTATTGAACAACTTCTATTTGCCAGCAGAAAAACTCAGTCATCTGTCCATCCACCTTTTTACGAGAAAGACTGAGAAGTCTTTCAGAGCCAATAATGAACTTCAGCTCAGCAGACACTGAGATGTGATTTAACCCAGCAAACACCATCAAAACACAATAGTTTAATGCTAAGTGTCCATGAATCCTCATTACTTGACTTGGACAAATGAGCATAAAATTATTTTTCTTTACTAGTTTCTCACATGGTTTTCAGATAAAAATTCCTAAGACCATTTTATACTAATGAGGTGCACTTGGACCTTACCATAGCCAGCTTTTCTCCATAGTTTATAGGCACACACTTTTGCCCTTGTTCTGTAATATCTTGACGGAGATCTGCTTTGTTTCCGACCATCATAATTGGAATATTCTCATGAGTTGCATCCTGTAAGGAGTTGCATCCTGTTATTGCTAGAACATTCACAATACAAAGAAATGGCTAACATCATCACGTCATATCTATTTCCTTTCCACAAAGTCTTGTACACTAGTAGAAAAAAACTGACAAATTACAAAAGCTATGATGAGAAATTTCTATAAACCACTCAAAATGTAAGCAGTCAGCTTAACTATCAGCCCGTAAAGATGTGTTTCCATTCCCATAAGCCTTGTTTCCCAAAAAGGAATCTAATGTGTTAAGTTCATCTAATGGAACTGGTTACTGCATCTAAATGCTGTATGACAAAAGTACTAAGGGAAAAGTAACCAACTCCTATGCCATGACTAAAAGAAAATGTTTTCACAGAAGATGAACTAAGTAATTTGCTTGCTACTTTCCCTCCTACTAAGCATCTGCAGCAGAAGAGGAAAACCCCTTGCACTACATGCAAATTCATATTCAAATAAAAAACCAAGAAGCACAAGTAGAAAGAATTCCTGAAAACTTCACTGAAGCTATAGCTATTTTATATATCTAATATATTGGTTTAAAATACAAAGACTCCAAGGACTATTCAAGCCATCCAGAAGAAGGTATCTGAAATATGCTGTCACATTCATTTTAAAAGGAAGTGAGTGGGAAGAGTGTCATTGCACAACATCCTTTAACAGACAAAGACGTATCAGATTGAATTCTAACTGAGTATGTCAGGATACATTTCGGACTTCTACGTAGCTTTTATTTCTATGACAGCCTCCAGTCTGGATAATTACAATTTACATCTAATCTAATTTTATAAATAAAAAAAACAATAATGTAGTGAAACATAGGTTCTAAGTTCTACCATATGTAAGGGTCTTACCTCAATCATATCCACCCATTCTCTCACATTAATAAAGCTTTTTTCACATGTTACATCATATAGCAGTAAGACACCATCTGCTCTTCTGAAGTATGATTTAGCAATACTTCGAAATCTTTCAGAAAAAAAAGAAAATATTTGCATAAGGCCACATTATCAAATAATAGTTCAGTTTAATATCACTAATATATTAGGTTTTTTCCAACCTTAATGGTTCTATGACTCAATGATTGACCTATACGTAACTTCCTAAATTGATTGCTCACTTTACTTCTTTGAAAAAGATAGAAATCCAATAAAATTATTTGAGGACTTCATGATCAATTACAGCCATCTTTGTCATGAACTTTCAATCTACAATCTTTCAATATACAATCTACTCAACCAAGTACAGTAACTAGGTATTTACAACACGTATTAAAATATTCTTCACAAATTCATTACATGAGAAGAAGGCTGATTGGATTCCTACATACATACAGCCAACACAAATCTTGGTCAATGAACATCTTAAACTGACTTCCACAGCAGTAGATTAACCTCTTAAAAAGCCCTAAAAGCTGTTGGTAAATAAGTAATGGCTCTCAAGTAAAGATGTCATAGGATTTTGAGGAAACTTTACACAATATTTTGAAGAATCATGGATATAAAATCAGCAATATACAAAGATAATTTTAGCAAAATTCCAAAGTCTTTGGAAAGAAGTTTTTATATACTAAATACAATGCAAATCGGGACCACGATTTTCATGGAAAGAATAGGAGATGGGGAGGAAAGGAAGGGAATCTCTAAGAAAAAGTCTGCTTAAAAATACAGGTGTAATAAGAACAAAGAAAGCTAAAGACTAAGAACAGAAAAAACCATATGCATCTGCTCCACCGTTTAGTATTGTCAAGGAGGGACACACAGATTTAGTTAATTAATCCTGCAGTGAACCTCAACTATTTCTCTTGATACCTCAAGCATCATCGAAGATAACACATAAGCATTCCACCTGTCTTGAGGTCTCAGCAGAGAAAAATTGCATCTGTTTACAGATACTTACATATGGACTATACAATTAATGTTTTTTTCCAGCTAGATGAAAAAAAGGCAAATGACTTTTACGAACAAAATAACTCAAATAAGGTAAAGTGCAGGGTATATCACTAACCTTTCCTGCCCAGCCGTATCCCACAGCTGTAACACTGTAGGTTCTCCATCAACAATTAGTCTTTTCATTTGAAAATCCACACCTGAAAAGAATCATGTTTATAGTCTAAAATAACCCATCAATAATCTTAAAGAAACCACAAATAAAAGGTAGGGGCTACATATAACAGTTTATCCAAAATTCGTATTTTTTAATAGGTTGTGAGATTTCAGTCACTCATGCCCATACTTCGGAATTGCAATAATCCCCTGAATGTATTTGCCTTTTCAGAGAAGAATTGATATAAATTGCAAGTCTGAACAATAAGCAAGAACTCTCGCTGCTTTATTTCACTAAACAGTTTTATCAAAGAAGTGAAAATACACATAAAAAACTTGATTTCAAATACCAAGGAAGAAAAAGATAAATTAGAACAAAAATACTGACAAGAGGAAATAAAACAAACATAAAAGTATGATTTAATTGGAAGACAAAATTCAGTCTTTGGGATCCTTAAGTTCGTTAGCTGACAAGTACACTAATATACAGAAGTCAGTCAGAAATCCTTCTAGCTGTACTTAAAGCAAAGCTTCAATAACACTTTGAAGAAATTGCAACAAAAAATGGTAGGAAAGACATGAAAGCATAGTACGAAATACTATGGAAAGAGTGAAGTGTTGAGAAAACAAGAAAGCAATGAAAAATGCAGAAAAACTCATACACACACTGTAAGTTCCTTACACAGACATTCCTTCTCTGGTGCTTTGTGTTATTCAGAAAGAGGCTTCATAAAGAAAAACTAAATTAGACCAGTACCCTATCTTCTACTACAAACACCTGTTATTACTAAACTTTAGTACTCAATTAGGTCTCACAGCCTGCATAAGAAACTCTTTGTGTATATCCCTAGCAAGGAATCACAAAGACAAGCTTTTCATCCTCTTCACTGCAAAATGACAATGAAGTTAATTTCAATATTTTAAGAAGAACACCAACTATACCTAGAGTTGCACTGGTATTGCCTTGAAATTCATTCTTGCAAAGTCTCATAAGAAAACTGGATTTTCCCACTGCTGCATCTCCAGCAAGAACAATTTTGTAAGCCTTCTCTGTACTGGGGTATTTTGGAGTGCATTCAGCTGCATCTGACTGAAAATAAAAATAATCCTTCTGTAACAACTCATAAAAACCTACCCTTCAGTATCATTCTTTTCCATTTTTCCCCTGAAGAACTGGTTACCTGAGGGGCGAGAGCAGATATGTATTTCCTCGTTGAAGCAACTGAGCTGCTTCGACTCACTGGTCGCGAGGGCTTCCAGTCTAAAACTGCAGTGCTGTTAGCAGGACTGTATGCTTCTTCATCTCTGATCTCTGGAACCTGAAAGTATGAGTTAGTTCTCTGGTGAGAAAAGTATGTTTTTCTGGAAAGGCACAGCTAAGACTGAGTAAAACACTTTAAGAGTTTGGATTAAACAGAGATAAATGACCAGATACAGCTGTGCAAGTCTAATCAAAATACGGTGATAATTCTCTTCTCATAAATTTCTGTTTAGTATAAGCTACACTTTGTCTTTTAATGTTTTTATGGTTTGGCATCCATTCTTTCAGTACTCTAACAGAGCAAACTAATTTCAATAAGAAAATTTCAGCTTATAACAAAGTCACAGTAAACAATTAGGACAATACTCAATTTCAAAGCTTATTTTGCAAATATTAAGAATTTCCCCAAAGACATTACTCTCTATGCTATTAATACTCAAGCTAAATCAAGTAGAGCACAGCTGTAATCAACATTATTCACAGCAAAGTCTCCACAGAGATTAATGCCTACTAAATGAACAGGTTTTTTTAAAAAAAAACATATTACACTGTGCTTGATATTATTTTTACTTTGTAGTCCTCAGAAACTCTTTCGATGCTACCGGCAATAAAACAGACACAGTAATACCTTCTTAGATTTTTTTAATTCTCTAAGACTTTAGCCTGTAAATCGATGTGTGAACTAACAGTATTCTATCTCACATGTGCTTTTTTTCTCCACTGCCACAGCATAGTAAGAGGAAGTGAATAGACACCTATTTTATTTCTATCCATTTTTTTATCATTAGAAAATGAGCTCCTTTCTGCATACAGTTTGACAAACTTCAAAAATCACATAAACTTAAAAAATGAAATTATTACCTGAAAACTTATCAAAAAATGTAAATTCAAAAAGAGAACTACTTATTTATTCTCAAAATATCTTCACTAATTAATTTAAATATGTATGACCCAAATATTTACTTTTAATTGGCCTGTGGGCAAAGATCCATTTTATTTTATAAACAGGAAGCTAATTTTGTCTCCAGTCAAAGGCTTTTCTCAGAGAAGAAGTAAATCTGGCACTTACATCTGTATCAGAAGCATCACCACCAAAGACTTCTTGCATACACTGTGACCTTTGAAAAATCCTTTGATGCCTATATTCCACTTCTGAATCATACTCATTTGAATCTCTCAGGGTAGACAAACCACTGTCAAAACAGCTCTCAGGTAAGCTGTCAACTTCACAGTTTATCCTTTGCATCGGGTCACAAAGGGCTAAAGCATCATAATCTTCATCGACACAAGAAGAATGAGACGACCTAATAAGAAAATATTGCAGGGGGAAAAATAAATTATTCCATATTATAAATCCCAATAATAAATGCTCTTCCCAACAAAATCTGAGCCCTTCTGGAATAGTCAATTCTTAGAAATGCTAATGTTATGTTTAGGACATATGTCAATCCCTATCTTGTCTTTACAAAGAATTTCTTTCTCAATCATATGTCTTGGGATGCTCAAATCAAATTATTTAATCTGTGTTACTGATGATCACTTTCCAAGTGTCAGTAATTATGACTATCGGTTAATTTAAAAAAGCCTATCTAAAAGACACTCAGAAAGTGATGTACCATGAAGACATGAGAAAAAGAAAAATACATATGATGTTTTAGTGAATTTTGGCCTACTCTAAGACATCAAACGACCTTGACATACTGTATCTCATTTAAATTAATACATTTGTTCACAGAGGCATGCATGTGCATGCCAATAAGAAACAGCTATAAATGCAGAAGATGGAGTAGCCAAGTTCAGGAGATCAGTAATGGTGGAAGAATTCACTGAATAATTTTCTTCCAGTTTGATACACTATGCAAAACCTAAACTTTTACACAGAATTCCTCTCTTTTCCCTTTACCTTCCTTTAAAAGTCTTTTTTTTTTCCCTTCTGGATACAGTAATATATAAAAATATTTTAATTAATGCAGCAATGACAGTATGGATTGTAGAAAAAGAAGATTTTATTTATGCAAATAAAAACACAAAAAAATGAAGGTTAATAGAGTGAACTCTAAGAAAACCAATATCATAAAAAAGGTTACAATGGCTACAATCATTATCATGCTCCTGCAGGAAGACAGGGACAGGCATCAACGAAAGTGAGGCAGTAAAGGTCGCCAAGTCATAGTAGAGCAGAGAGGGTCTGGCTTAGCCCTGCTGGGAATGGATGTGATGCACAGACCTGCTAAACCAGACAAGGTCAGCATCAATCCTTGTAACAACAGCTGGCTCCCAGAGGGGCTCCCCTGTGATGGCACAACACAGGAGAGTACACGGGGGAAAACCACCAAATTATGAAGCTGTTACTGAGTCGAATTCTTCCCTGCACCTGGCCAAATGGGGGTGAAAGTGGCATCATTTTCCTATGCAGTAACATTCAGAGCCATCTAATTTACACCCCTTCAGGCTAATGAATAATCACATGTATGCATGTGATCTTTGCTGTAGGATATCAAAGCATACACAGTCTTTGTATTCATGCACCTACTAGCCTATATCAAATCACTGAATTACTGAGGAAGAGTGCATGCTATAACAAAGTTAAGCTTGTCAGGCATTCCCTGAAATAAAGTTCTTAAGCAGGCACTTCTCAACTGCACTGAACTATGAATTCAATGCTGGGAATTTCATATATGCTTAAAACAAGTTAGACCAAGATGAATCTTACAGACAAAAAAAAAATCATACATTTTAGAACAGATTGCTTAAATCATGTCAGTATACAAACCAATACCTCTTAATGCTGATCTGATGTCAGGAGACAAAGTACTGAAAACAAACAGGTTTTGGGACATTCACATCTCTTTCTGTTTTTTGATACTATCAAGTCACACATGTTATGACTAAACTTTATTCCTACCACATAACATATTCCTACCACACTTTCTTCTAAATTGCCTTGTATTTCTCACTTTTGTGGAAATGCAAGGGTTGCACCATGTGGCATGTACTAATAAATATTCAAAAAGAACAACATAACCAAGCCTCCAGAGAGGTTTTAGTTACTCCCTCAGAAAATTACTGAATGCAATATGCAGCTTACAGTGGATGCCTCTAAAAATTTTCAGAGGGTCCAACATTAGGGAATTGGGTTTTTGTGCATTCAGAATCAGGAAAGCGCTTTTGACAAGCAAAATTTTATAGCCAGCAAACACATCTCACATGGAGACAACACAATAAGAAGGACACTGCTGAATGAATGGGGATATTGTAAGTGTGAAGTGAAGTCAATTTAATTCCTCTCCAAGATATTTTTCTTTCTGGCAGACTACTAAGACCTCTATTAGAGATCTCTCCATGGTTTGGAATACCACTGAAAGAAAAAGAAGACAAAATAATCCATCAATTGATTAAGGACCACATTTTTGCTGATGGATCTGTTTAAAAAAACAAGTGTGAAAGCATAACATGACTGATAGCACTCAGGATTGCCTCCAGTACCCACTGTCTTCAGGGAGTCTCTGAAATGATGAGGAAGTTCTGCTCAGTGATCTTTATCTAGTAAGTAGAAAACTAAGTACCTCTGACTATCTAATTGCATTTAGATAACTTAGTGTTTTTGTACTCTTATCCCATAAATATCCAAGCGCATCCACTACTCTTGCATGTCAGTGTGAGATAAGGTGATTTGAAGAATCAGGCCCACATTTGTACTAATTATTTTATGGGGAAAAAAGGCATACAAAACCAGAAGTGTTTTATTTCTCAAGCACTGAGAAAGGCTAACAAAGGTCCTCAGAAGAGTTTTACAGTTTCTTGGAGACAAAGAGGCGGTGACTGAAGCTAGAATCAAAAGAGGCCAAGAGCAGACAAGGGGCTGTCTGATGTCTCCATAAGTTTATGGCTTCTACTAAAGAGGGTTAGTCTGAGCTTTCTGAAGTCATTGAGAATATTCCTATTGACTTTAGTATATTTTGGATCATCTGCTAAGGTCACATATTTGTTCTAAATCAGACAGAACCATTGTCTGTTACTTAACACTAATCTCGTCTTCTAAGACAAGCCATTCTCAAATTAACAAAAGCAAGCCTGGCTTACCTGTCATACCGTGGATTTAAAGGAGAATGTTCACCATTAAATTTAGGACTGCTTCTAGAAATGGTACTTCCTGGTGAGGTATTTGCCAACCGCTGCAACAGATACATAGTAAATGCACTATAACTTTGATCAACACAGAGGATTATATCTAGATTTGTTCAGAAAAAAAAGTGCGCATCATCAAAATTACAAATTGGATGTATTTAATATATGTTTATTTATATTTTTAAAATATATATACTTCATATATATATATATAACCTCATACTTCATATATGACTGAGGGTCAGAAGGCTTACTACCTATAGCATGAAGCATTTAGGCTTCACCTCTGCCTTTATACTGAACATACTAGACATGTTCAACTACAAAAGAAAACAGAATTTCCAAGAGGATGATTTCATTGACTGCCTCAAGACTCTGACCTCAAGACTATGAAATGCTAAGCTTTGAAAAGGGATATTTAGACCATGGCATGCTGACTACTGAAAAAAAGGGGAACTGTCACTAGCTGAGCTAGTTTCAGGAGAGCTACCTCCTAGTTCCTAAGAGAGATCGTGAAGGAAAGGTCTCAACTAATAGCATGTGACAAAAGTATTTTGTAAATTCTGCTGTGCCTTCATTTATTCACTGGAAACAGTGTCTTCTATGTAATATGCTCATTTATATTTCCACGCATGACAGTTGAAAATGGTATCCATTGTTGCATCTGTAGCTTGTATCAACAAAAAGCAACACGCTCTGGTAGCTTGTATCAACAAAAAGCACTCATGTTCACTGGTATGGAATACTGCAAACAGGCAGTGAACTGACCCCTATTTTCCTCCTTCCTCTCTAGTATTGTCTTTGTGGGCCCATTATTCTGATCCCATCCTAAACCTATATGCTTTCCTCATGATGCCCAATTATTAGTTTTAAGAGCTTTAACAGGTTTCACAGGATAGCAAAACGACAGTGTAGAGTAGGTTTTTTCTTACTTTAAAGCCTTCCTTTCTCTAGTTTGGAGGATTTCAAGTGACATTTGCTACAAGAGACTCCAATGCATATTCACACACAACACATATTCACAACACTCATATTCACACACAACACAAATATATTCCCTCTAGCGCAGGAGAAACTGTTGATTTATTCACCTCATAAAGTATCACAGAATATTTTTTAAAATAGTAATTTTCCAAAGCACTTGGAAGGCAGCTGTGCTGTAACAAAACTTCCAGTACTTAACAAAGTGTAAGTAAAATCTAACAGAACTACACAGGAGTATTCCCACAGTGAGTCCACTGAAAAAACCTCTATTTTCTCAGTACCCAGTGAGGTACCAGTTTAATTGTGCTGTGCTGATTCTTTCACCTTTTATGACAATGTAACAAAATCATAAATACATACCAATGATCTGTTGTACTTGCTGAAACTGTTTTCAAGTGCACTTCTTAAACCATCGTTGCTGTCATGTAATTTTCTATTAGCTGATCTAACAAGGAAACACAGTTCAACTTGCAGAACTCAAGAAAACATGAAAAACTCTCCAAAAGAAAAATTTTCAAAATACTTCTAAAAAAACCCTTTTCTTCTTTAGCTAACACTAAAGAGTTACATGAAACTGGAAACACACTGACAGATACTCAAACAAATCACTGTGAATTTTAGGCTTCAGTGGCAGCCCAGGAAGCCCATTTTCACTTGTACAGCATGTTCTCTGGTCAGTGGAAAAAAAGGTACTGTAGGAATGGTGATTAAAAAACAAAAAACAAAAAACAAAAGCGCCAAGAAAAACCCAAACAACCCACACAATAAAACAACTAGTCCAGCCATTTCTGTACAAAATGACTACCCTTTAAATATTGCTGAGGTGATTCTGAAGACAAATATCATTAATCTGCTTGAAAAAAAAGAATTTTTTTTGGATAAGGATATTAAATAAAGATATTAAAAATCTATTCATTGTGACCCTTCTTGTGCACCTATTGCATAATATTGCACACTCTTGGTACTTTCCAGACAACAATAAGACAGGGAGTTACTGGAGAAGCAAAGCCAATAGAAAAAGGAGTGAGGCAATAATTTTTATTGGACAGACATGAACAGACTCAAATCACACATTCAGCTTAATAGAAAGAAATTAAAGTTAGTGGGGCTAAGAAAAGAAATGGAAAGAAAACAACTACAGCGTTAGTGGGTCAGTACCACTGCAGAATTAATACCACAGTAACATTTATGACAGTTGAGAACAATACCTTTTATGATAATTTAGGCCATTTCAGTATTTTAACTTGAAACTCTTCCCCACATTTCAACCCAATCTTTTGCATACTTATCTCAAATACGGTGGGACAAAGTTTGATAATAAAAAACCTGGATTTCTAAAAACTTACTGAAGTATTTCAATTTGTCTTTCAAGATTATCTCTGTCTTCAGTATACTCTCGAATAATTTCTAGATCCCTGGGGAAAAAAACAAAAACAAAAAATAAAAAACAAACTTAAATAAACTTATGCTTAACAGGATAGTCTTACATTTTCACCATATTGCCTTTGGCAGAGTTTACATTTATGCTGAAACATGCTGAGAGCAGTTTTACACAAAGTAAGATAATTTGGTGACTTCATTAATCTCTGCAATTATAGCTCAACAAAGACTGTGAACTGTTTCCTTTTCCCTTCAAATATAATTTGTATTATCTGATGATAACAACACAATGAAGCTGCCCTTTATGCTCCTTTAAAAGAGTAACTAGAAGTAGTTTCCATTCATTTTAGAAAAACAAATGGTTAAGATAGACATGGAAGGCTTCCAAATCTAAAATTTATACAGGTCCTCATGTGAGTGCAAGCCATGAAGAAAAAAAAAATCCTGATTCTGTACTGTTGTTTCATTCCTAATAAAGTCCCACTAAAATCAATGGATATTGTTGCAAGACTGAGAGAGTTTGCATCATAGCCAGAACTTGCTCCTTCAGAAACCTAACAAGAATTATGAGCAGCATTGATGACACGGTATCAAACATGTACCTACCCTTTAAGGCAAATTTAGAAAATAACAGTTGCTAACTGCATACACAATAATTACATCAGAGAATAGATTCTGGTTAACTTACCTCTCAGTGTTCAAAGACTGATCTGCATACTCGCTTTTCAAGGTATCTAATTCACTCTGCAAGAAAGCTATATTTGTCTGCGCTTCTAAGAGATCTTTCCTAAGTCTCTGATTTTCCTTCAAAAAAGGAAGATATTAGATGTTAGCTGTCACAGTCACCTCCACAAAATATTGATATATTATAACAGGAGAATAAAAACCACAGTTTTTAAAAAGAAAAGTAACACAAAAATGAAACACTATAAAATTTGGCATAGACAGGGAAAGAAAATTAAAGAAGGCTAAATCAACAGAGAAGTCATTAAATTAACACGCAAGAACCTCTTAACTTTTTATTTTCCATTCAGTTACAAAAAAAATGCGACCACAGGATCTCAAGCCATTTCTAAATATCCTATATAGAATGTGTACATATTTAAACAGGTTTTTTTTCAATTTAATAGATCCACATACACTTATCCATGACTTCAAAGGTTTACTTTCTAGATTACCATTACTAAATGTAAAAAAAAAACCCCAAAAAAACTCAACAAAAATCAAAACCCAAATCTCCACAAGTATAACAATCCGTATTGCAGACACTAAAACTGAGGCTAAATTAATATGTTAATAATAATAACATTGTCTTACCAGCAACATATCATGTATCCTTTTTTTCAGTTCAACTACATCTTCCCTGTGATTGACAGACTTGGATTGCTCCTCCAGCTTGAAGTATTAAAAAATTCAAAATTAATTTATTTGGCTGTTCTGCTTTTAAAAAAGCCTTATGAAAATCACAATAAATAATTGTTAAAAGGTTTTACAGTTACTAAAGTTTTTAAAACTTAAGAGTTTTTCTGAATGTATTAGACAGCATTATTTCAAAAATCACTGGCTTTCTAGAAAATTGATATGCTTTTTTCACTCTTTCGGTATAAAATATTCATAACTAGTGACACAGAAGACTGCCGTTAAGATAGAAACAGAGAGAAACACTAACTTAAAAAAACATTAAAAATTATTACTACCTCATCTATGTAGTACTTGGACAAGAAGCTCTCATGTTTCTTGTAAGAAATTTCAATTTCTGCAAATGTTCTTCTAAGTGCAATTAAATACAAAACCCAAAAAATATATCCACTTTGCTTGCTCTAATTCTGATAAAACTTATAGCAAAAACGAAGGTCAAAATAAAACCCAAATTACGAAATATTCCAAAACATCATTCCTATCTGAGATTTCATTTTACTCTATTACTAGAAATCAAATTACTATCTCAAATTGCAATTGAGTTCTAAAAGGCACTATACATAAAGTTGGGTTCTAAAAGGCACTATATGTAAATTATAGTATCCATGTTGCAAATTCCATCTTTATTTATAAATTACAAATACTTAGTGGCAATATTTTGGACTATTTCTAATGGGCCAAACATAAGACTAGGTAACTGCAATGTTAATAACCTGATGGACCTAGAAAATTGTTAAGCTACAGAATTTAGGTAATAATTGCTGCTCCCTTTCCTAAGTATTTCAACAAATTACACAGCATGAATACAATAGCACAGAATATCAACACAACCTAAAAATTATCTGCAGTTGCCATTTACTAATACAAATTAAATTAGAAACCTACAATTATGATTATCCATCTTAAAGGAAGCATTTAATGAGGTCAAGATCTCTTAAAATACTTTAAAAAAACTCACCAGACTTCAACTCACTTACCTTTTTAAGTCTTTTTATTGTCACCTGAAGATCCCCAACTTCAGTGTCATACTGGCGCTTCAGCTCATTTAGTGCTTCTTCAGCCTTTTGCTTCTCCTGCAATATTTTCAATCTCATTAGAAGCTGAGACAGGTTTCAAATGTTTATCAAAAAATTCATTCATTGGTTTGGAAAGCACATGCTTTTTGCTTAGACAAATGTATCTTTCTATTCTATCCCTTTCTGAAGATCCATAGGTTCTGATTCTGTAATTGCAGTCCACTTCTAAAACACTCACAGAAATAAAATAATGTCATGAGAGTAAAGATATGGGTCAATTCAGTGTTTTTCATTCATGATTCCTGCGCTTAATATTCTCAATTTCACTTACTTTTTTACTTCTTTCTTTTTAATTTTTTTTGCTTGCAAGTGTTAGAACATTAGAGGCCCATGTCAGTAAAAGCAGATGACAGCATCTCTAGTTTTAGATAAATGGTACCATCCCAGGAACAGAGACAAGAAGGTGGTTTCACTGCTGTCTATTCAATACTACCCACATCACCAGGATGGTCTCAGCAGATGGAAATGGAAGCAATGCCATCTTCTACCAGGGCATATAGCAGGGTGTGTGCCTATGTTTAAGAGGCTGCACCAAGTACTGCCTGCAAGGATGCGGTGTGCTATTGACTGGTGTGTTTCACTCACTCCAATCACTCCCAGGGACTCCAGTTTCACAACACAAGAAGTCAGAATGCAGCAGTGAGAAGTGGAGCCAATAAGACAGGTTGAGTTTTCACATGGAAGAGGCAGGCATAGATTTTGTTTAGAATTCAGAATTTCCTGTAGGTGACGCTGGCATTCACGTGTTAAAACAATAATCCAAGTAATCAATTCAAGTTGGATTCCCCTACTGTTGCCAACTACAAGGACTTGTAAGTATTGTTGGGTAACTATTTGGTTCCCTTGAAGAAACAAAATACAGGATAGGCTCATGCAGAAGCAGGTGTCCCGGTGGCATGAGTGAGATCACTATGACAAACAATAGCCTTGATTACAGACATTAAGATTAATGGCTTAGTACATTCCCACAAAGTAAATAACTTAACATTTACACTCAGGGCATTTTAGTAGGTGCGGTATGTGGAGTTAGGAGCTACAAGGAACACTGGAGAGTGAAAATTAAAAAAGCCTTGTGAAAAACAAGTTAACAGACCATCCCTCATACCTATGGCTAGATGCAAACAGTGATTGAGAACACAGACTACATGTAGATAATATACAGAAGATTCACTTCTGCATAATGCCAGCACATAACTGCAACCACACATATCCCAGTCATCTTTTTTAATCAGTGAAAAACGGTATTTCAGTGATTTGTCACGTTTTGAGGACAGTAATTTTTCAGAGAAAATGTAATTGTTTTCTAAACATTAACAACTTAGCTTCTCTGGAAGTGAAAATTTATCTCTACTAAGAGCTGCATTATCATTAGTTAAACATATCAAATCACACTTTTTTTTTGCAGGTGTGATATCTTTAAGATTTTTATGCCATTATATTTTGTTTCTAGGAACACAATAGCCTTTATGGTGTGGTAGAACTGTTTTCTCCTGTACAGGAAAAAAAGTTACTTGAACTAAATCTATCAGAATACCATTTACCTTCACATATCAATTAGTGTGAACTACTTAAAATCAGCAAGTTGTCAGACAGCAGTTTGTTACTTCTGCTTCTGCAAGTACTCTGGTAAAACAACCCATAGCAAATACATACAGATGTTCAGTATACCACGTGTCCAACCAAGCAATAATTATGCCCATACTATAAGTATTAATTAAAGCATTTCTTATGCCCTCATTAAAACACTTTCACAAACTGTTATGCCCATATAAAGTTTGGCCTATCTCAAATGAATGTAGTAACAATTCAAAATGAACCAGCGAGCTGGTCTTTCTCCTTTGAATTATTCAGTCACATGTGGCTCTAATATATCTCTCCCTGGGTAAGAGAAGAGGATTTTTACTCCTTTTCATATAGACTGCAAGTGGGTTGAAACCACGGATAAAATTGAGCAGATCAAAACAGAATTTCCCATTAAGTTTGAGGGGCCCAGGCCCTCACACATTGCTATCACAGTTACCCCTCTCTTAAGTCTCTAAAATGTAGTTGCAGAAGAATGGAGGAAAGAAAGATCATTATGTATGTCAAGCAGACATACAAAGCAGGACCAAATAATCAAAGCATTAAATTATACATAAATTATTTTACTAGGAGAACTAGATTACATTCTTTAGTGCTGAAATATAATTTTCTCCAGTCTGTTTTCAATACTGGTCTCAGAAAAGAAACTCTTCTTGGCCAGTATGTTCCCACAAAAGCGGCAGACTTTTTTTTCTTGGTTTATTACACCTAAGCAGATACTCCTCTTTAGGAAAGCATTAAGATCATGCATTCTTTCATCTCAAGCATAGCATTTTTTCATCCAGGCCCTGCCTAGAACAGTTTTGAGTCAGTCCATCAGGATCAAAACCACACGTGGCCATCAATCCTGCTTAAGATCACAAAGAGTTCAGTAATTATGAAATGCTGTAAATATAAAATACTCACTTCCTTTTTAACTTTATGCTCTGCAGCCTGTATCCGTAGTTCCATTTCTTCCTCTAATTCACTGAGTTGAACTGCTGCTTTGTCCTGAGCCCTAAAATTTAGAAGAAAATATTCTCTTAGGAATTGCCCTCCGGCTTGAAAGAAATACAGTGTGAAACTATCTGCCCACCTCAACTGAAACAAATTAGACAGAAAGACAGGGAAACAGTTAAACATTGCCCAGACCTTGAAAAGGGTGTGGCTAGGAACCTAAATCCCAAATAATTTTGAAAATACTGGCTAATTAGATTTTAAATAACAGCTGCAAGCTGATGATTAGCATTAAATACATCTGCACTTTTAAAATTAATTTACAAAGATGAAAGGTGCCCCTCATTATCCTATGAAGAGACTTCAAAAGCAACTTGCATCAGCCACACATACAAGATCTCTGGTCTGAGCTAATCTGCTTGGTTTTGGCAGTTATGATGTGAGACTGACAGTGCCAAGTAGTTAAAACAGATAAATACAGTCCTTGAAGCTCACGAAGCAAAAATATGATTTCTAAAATTATAGTGGACATGTATGATAAAACCCAAAGTTGCAGCCAAGGAAGAGGAGTCAAAATGTTTTAAGGCATTTAACTAACAACAGAGTCTGCAAAAATTTGGCCCAGAATTTATCAAAAGTATGAACACGCAATCATTTGCAGGCTGCTATATGTGCTTATGCACAAGGGTATGCACACAAACTAACTTCAGAACTCAGTTTACAGAAATACTTTGCAAGGCATATTTTAGCATTAGCTGTCAATAGTTTAATCAATAAAAGCATGAGAAAAGGAATAAAAAAGAAACTGCAGAACTGAACTAGAAACACAATTCACTATACCTTTTTACCGCTATGGCCAGAGTTTCCATCTCTGTGCTTTGAAGTTTGATCTCTTGGATGAAGTTCTTAATGACATGCTCATATGGCTGGATTAATCTTGGTTCTGCTATGTGTATGTTCTGATACAGAACACTGACCTGCTCTTGTCTGAAAAAGAGAGATATGCACATTTTAATGCACTTATTTGGAACAATGTTCTATTACAGGTTTGAGAAACTTAGAACAAATTAAGATATTCCCCTCTCTACTTATTTTTAAAATTTGGCAAGCTAGATACAGGCTTTCAACACTCAGGACAGTATGTCTAAATTCTTTAAATTATGTTTACCATTTCCACTTCTCTAGTTTAATATAGCTACTGCAAAAAAAAAAAAAAACAAACCAAAAAACAAACAAACAAACCAAAAAAAAAAACTGCCTACTTCTGTTCATAGTGTAGTGAAGAGAATGCCACTGGAGTAGCCCACAATGATATCAAGTTTCTCAATTGCTCTAACGTTAATCATAATCCGTGAAGAAACGTAAGTTTCAGGAGGTTGCATAAGAACTGAAAACGGGTATGAATGCCAACTACCTAAGTTAAAAGGGGAAGAAGAGACAGAGGGAGGTGGGCTGCAGGCAAAATAAGAATACAGCTCTTCAGTCTCACACAAATTATTCTGGTCTACATCCAAATAAATCTGTCATTATAAGAAGTTAATTCTGTATATTACTCTCATGTGAAAAATGACAGATATATCTCACAGAGAAGAAAGAAAACATTTCTGTTGGTATTTTAGTTGTTAAAAGCTGTCCTGAAATTCACAGTGAAAAGTTGCCTCAATGCAGGAATAGTATATTCTGATTTCTATTTAATCTACATAGATCGCATGCTTTTCTAATTGTTGGAGCAAAGAACCTTTACAAGACCAAAAAAAAATAATAGCGTAAGAGCCAAACCTCTATTACAAAGTCTACTACACAAATACCACTGATTTCTGTTCATGCTACCGGTATGTCATGCAAATCTTTGTTTTGCATGCTAGGTTCCAACTCCTGGATTACATTAGGCAACATAGCAGAAAATATTCTGGAACAGAATTTAGCTGTCCTAAGGAAAACTGAATGTGATTGACATAGACTATATGCTAGAACATGAACGCATACTCAACAACTTAAAAACCAAATGGAAAAAAGTAACAGAGAAGATGAAGTCTAGAAAGGTGGAGAAAACAGGCCAGTAATTAAGAAATACACATTATTAGAAGTAGAAATACAGCCAGAAACAATGTTTTGCAAGTTCAAGTCTAACATCATATCTAACATTACAAATACGTGCTCTCTTTTTCTTGTGAATGAAAGTTTCGACTCTGATTAACCAATCCTCCTTGTTAGACAGCTGAAGTTTTCCTATCTTCAGTGGAGGTAGTGCTACTTAATACATTCACCATACACATGATATAACAACTGTGCAATCCAACAAGTGTGTATTCTCTTCATTTTTTCTCACTTGAAGCAATTCCACAGCTTTGATTATCAATGCTGCAGCACTCTGCTTCTTGTATGTGATTTCTCCACTGAATGTCTAACTTAACTTTAATAAAAGAGTACCACAAATGTTACTATAGCTCAAATTCCACTTTAAACAATTTAACAACTTCAGGACACTGTAAAATTTGCTTCCAGCTGAAATGTTGGCATTCATTTTGAGATAGAGAAACCTAAAACCAGCACAAAGAGATAAAGATTTACTGATGCTTGAGAAATTTCTGTGGTTTTGTCTTGCAAAGGATCTCCTTTACAAAGGCTAATCCTGTATTACCTGTATTTAGGAAGTTAAGTATCTTCCAATGTATGCACACAATTTCTTTTTCAAAATGTATTCTAAAGAGAGTAATGCTGAAGTTTACAAACAGTAGCAATAACAGATTTATCTGATCATCAGATGCTACAAACTCTGTATAAATAATGCAACATTATAGAACTCTTCAAATGTATATTTATTCAATTAATGATTTGCATTTAAAAAACTGTTAAGGACACTTCCAGAATCCACCTGGAGGCCTGTAGTCAATGTCATTCTCTGGGATCAATCAATACTGGAACCAGTCTTGTTCAACTTGTTTATCAATGACCCAGATGAAGGGGTGGAATGTACCCTCAGCAAGTTTGCTGATGGCACTAAACTGAGGGAGTGGTGATCCACCTGAAGGCTCTGCTGCCATTCTGTGGGACCTTGCTAGGCTGGAGAGCTGGGCAGAGAGAAGCTTAATGAGCTCCACGAGGGCAGGTGTAGGGTCCTGCACCTGGGCAGGAACAGCCCCAAGTGCCAGCACAGCCAGGGGCTGTTCCTACAGAGCAGCTCTGTGGAGAAGGACCTGGGATCCTGGTGCATCACAAGCCATCCATGAGCTGGCAGTGCCCCTGTGGCCAGGAGGGCCAAGGGTTCCTGGGGTGCATCAGAAAGAGCATGGCCAGAAGGTCATGGAGGGAGTTGTGTCCCTACTCAGCCCTGGTGAGGCCACACCTGGAGTGCTGTGTCCAGTTCTGGGCTCCTCAGTAAAAGAGACACAAGGAGCTACTGGACAAGGTCCAGCAGAAGGTCACAAAGATAATTTGGGATCTAGAGCATCTCTCTTATGAGGAGAGACTGCAGGAACTGAGCCTGTTTAGTCTAGAGAAGACTGAGAGGGGATCTCATTAACACATATAAATTTCTGAAAGGTGGGTGCCAAGAGGATGGTGCCAGATTCTTTTCAGTGGCGTCCATCAACTGGACACGGAGCAATGGCTCTAAACTAAAACAGAAGAAGTTTCACCTCAATACGAGGAAAAGTATCTTTGACATTGTGGCTGGCAGAGCACTGAAAGAGGCTGCCCAAAGATATTGTGAAGTCTTCCTCTCTGGAGACATTCAAAACTGGCCAGATTCCTGTCTAGCCTGCTCTTAGCTGACCCTGCTTTGGCAGGGGCATTGGACTGAAGATCTCCAAAGGTTCCTTCCAACCATAACTACTCTGTAATTCTTTTCAAAGTATATGCAAACCTGAGTTAGTTAGAGCATGGTGATAATAACACCAGGTTGTGGGTCCAATACCTGTATGGGCCATTCACTTAAGAGCTGGCCTTCATGATCCTTGTTGGTTGATCTCTTCCAACTCAGAATATTCTGTGATCTGGAAATACACATGCCTGAATTTAAGCTAGAAATCAGTAGGCCTGTAATGCTGATCCTCTGCCACACAGCTAAGTCTGCTCTAAGATACAGTAGTCAGAAACCCAAAATAGTTACTGTGAGGTTTTATTCTCCCTCTGGGATGAAAAAAAATGTTTAGCCCAATGACCAGCTATCACACAGTTGGATTCAAAATATTTCAGTAACACCGTTTCAGGAAGCAGCACTTAGGCTCAAGAAGTCTTCCTATCCAATATCAATACAACCACAACCATGCAAGAGTCCGGAAAGGGCCTGGAAAGATCACAGCTGGTCATTGAAACTCTCAATGATACTTAAATGAGTGCTTCTGCAGCACCAATACAGGATGTCTCAATTAAAAAGTAGACTCACAGCTACTACATCAATCAAAAAAAATCACAAAAAAACACCAAACACATTAACAAAACAGATGAGAAATCAAAGTCATGCAACAAAATTAGCAGGATTAGTTAATCACCTATGATTTCAGGAAGATGTAACACACTTTCATGAACTGCAAAGATTGTCAGTAATTTAGTCACTCCAAGTATCCATGGATCCATGATAAAGACAGCAGCAATTATATGGACTCTGTATCAACATGCAGTAAGTATTTGAAGATTATTTGTTCCAAATCGCCATTTTTCTATTTTTAATTGTTCCTCTGCTTTCACATGATTTTGTGAATATCAGTGACACTGCTGCAGCAAGGCAGATTAGCTGCAATGAATATTGCCCAAATTTTGTTGCCACTTCTTCTTGAATACACGCTATTTCTTTCCGCAAATTCATTAGTTATTCAAAATTAATTATCAAAGAAGATTTTACAAATGTATTTCATCAAGATGACTTGAACTCTAAACAGTCTGTCCTTTTGCTAGACAAAATGTTTCAGCAAAACTAATCTCAAATGCTTGGACTGGCCCTTTAAAACTTGTTTTCCTTGAAATCCTAAATTAATTTTTCAGTGTATATTAGCTGCACACCTGTAAGCTCCACAGTAACAGTTAGTGTGGAACTTAAATGTATTCACAAATACTAATGCATAGAAAGAGCATTTTCTAATATATGGCATGAAAATTTGTAACTTTGTTCACCTGGCACTATGGTTATACTACTCATGCATGCATTTATTTCTGTTGCTTCTGCAAAGTGCAGACACCAAATACTAGTAATCCACAAAAAGTATAGCATTGTGGCCAAGGACTACTTTGGCTTTACCTTACCTCATCTCAAAGTATGGTTTATAGCATAAACCATCTGTAAAATTAGTACTTAGTAAGAGTAATTAGTCAATATTTGCACAGCTTCACATGAGTTAACTTAAGCAAAGTTACAGTATTCACATGGTTTCAGAGAGTTCCTGTGAGAACTGCATAAAGAAAATAAAACTGCTCAATTTCTAATATGATGGATTTAAAATACCATGGTTGAATAGAAGAGGAGCAGAAGGGAAGCAGGGGGACAACTCACACCAAAAAAAACCACAACACTAATTCTGGCTATATCAGATATTTAGATTATATTGTGTTATAATTTCCTTTAATCCACACAGCTATTTTAATCCTTATCAATTCATAGTATTATTTCTGGTTTGCTGATTATACAGTGACCATTTGCCTCATAATCCACACTGTTCAGAGTTCAGAGAAAGATGATAGAATTTTTCAACTAATAACAGCCCCAGAGTTGCTCAGTATCTTACATGTGTGGTCACCAGAAAGAATACGCTGTTTTACACAAGGTCACCCAGTCTGACCCTAAGGGCAGTACTTGCTTTTAGAACACTATTTTAATGATCCCTTTTTACTGTACATCAGCGGGTTAAATTGCTCTGATCACTTGTAGAAGTTTTGTTCTGGTAAGGACATGAAGAGATGAAGCATAAGGTGGTCTGAGCTGGGAAGGTCTGAGCTGGGTGGTCAGAACAAAACAAAGCTCAAGCATTATGTATCTGATACCTGTCCTTACA